GAAGGAAGGAAGGAAGGAAGGAAGGAAGGAAGGAAGGAAGGAAGGAAGGAAGGAAGGAAGGAAGGAAGGTCTCATGACAGGAAGCCAGGAAAGGGAGCTCTAGGGACTTCTTTTTTTCTCTTTTTTCCCTATGCTTCTGTAGGTATTGAAGCCCTAGGGCAGCGACCCTCAACCCCTGGGCCACAGACTGGTACCAGTCTGTGGCCTGTTAGGAACAGGGCTACAGAGCAGGAGGTGAGCAGTGGGTGAGCAAATGAACCTCCATCTGTATTTACAGCCACTCCCCGTTGCTCACATTACTGCCTAAGCTCCGCCTCCCATCAGCTCAGCGGCGACATTAGATTCTCATAGGAGTGTGAACCCTATTGTGAACTGTGCATGGGAGAGGTCTAGGTTGCATGCTCTTTATGACAATCTAATGCCTGATGATCTGTTACTGTCTCCCATCACCCCCAGATGGGACCATCTAGTTGAAGGAAAACAAGCTCAGGGCTTGCACTGATTCTTCCATTATGGTGAGTTATATCATTATTTCGTTACATATTACAATGTAATAATAGAAATTAAGCACACAATAAATGGAATGCACCTGAATCATCCTGAAACCATTTCTTCTGCTCCCTGGTCTGTGGAAAAACTCTCTTCCATGAAACTGGTCCCTGGTGCCAAAAAGGTTGGGGACTGCTGCTCTAGGGTTTTGGTTCAGGGGTTCCTGAATGTGGACTTCTGGGGCCACATCCTTCTTTGCCGTAGGGGATCCTGTGCATTGTAAGATGTTGAGCTGCAGCCATGGCCTCCACCCACCAGATGCCAGTAGCACCTGGCACCGCCCAGCCCCCACCCCAGCTGTGACAACCAAAAATATCTCCAGACTTTACGAAATGTCCCCTGTAGGGCAAAAGCACCCCTGAGTGAGAACTGCTGCCTTAGAGAAAGGGTTCTATCATCAAACATAAGGGAGAGGCCAGGTGCCGTGGTTCACTCCTGTCATCCCAACACTTTGGGAGGCAGAGGTGGGCAGATTACCTGAGGTCAGGAGTTCGAGACCAACCTGGCCAACATGATGAAACCCCATCTCTATTAAAAATACAAAAATTAGCCGGGTGTGGTGGTGCACACTTGTAATCCCAGCTACTGGGGAGGCTGAGGCAGGAGCATCACTTGAACCTGGGAAGTGGAGGTTGCAGTGAGCCAAGATTGCACCACTGCACTCCAGCCTGGGAGAAAAAGCAAGACTGCTTCAAAAAAAAAAAAAAAAAAAAAAAGTAAGGCAGGAAGACCACTGCTCCGCAGCAATTAGGCACTAGTGGTATACCTCATACAAAAGGAACCACCTCAGTCTCCATTCTGATCAACGGAGATGGGCGCATTACAATTTAAAATAATTCTCAATTTAGCCCATTCATTTGTAGACTCCTGTGAGCATGTGGTAAAAGTTAAGGAATAGCTAACCCCTCGATGCCTGCAATTTCAGGGCTTACGTAATCTCTGAAATCCAAGGACTCCAGTTTGAAAACCCATGTCATAGAATTATTTACATAGTTTATTACATATAATAATTTAAAAATAACAATATTCAATGTCTGAGAGGCAGTGGAGAAATTTGATCCCTAATGTACTGCAGGTGGTTCCACGAACAGGTACTGCCGTGTATTCTAGGACACAGCAAGACCCAGTGAGAGGCTTGGGTCCTGCTGGTAATTCTTCTATCTGGGTGCTTAGCCTAAAGAAGGCATCCAGAATGCCAATACAGCTTTACATACAAACATTCTGGCGACTTACAGATTACGGTATCAAAACACTAAAAACAGCCCAGGCAGGGTGGCTTATGCCTGTAATCCCAGCACTTTGGGAGGCCAAGGTGTGTGGATCACTTGACGTCAGGAGTTTCAGACCAGTCTGGCCAACATGGTGAAACCCCATCTCTACTAAATGTGGATCACTTGAGGCCAGGAGTTTCAGACCAGCCTGGCCAACATGGTGAAACCCCCATCTCTACTAAAAAAAAAAAAAAAAAAAAGGAAAAAGAAAAAGAAAAAAAAGCCAGTCGTGGATGATGCGTGCCTGAGGTCCCAGCTACTCGGGAGGCTGAGGCATGAGAATCGCTTGAACCCAGGGGGCAGAGGTTGCAGTGAGCTGAGATTATACCATTGCACTCCAGCCTGGGTGACAGACTTCATCTCAAAAAAAAAAAAAAAAACAAAAAAAACACTGAAACAATCTTAAAAAAAATCTAACCTGTACAAGCTGGGGGCTTAGCAAATTGATATTTAAGAGGGGTGCAATAGGATGTTGTTTACAATAAGATGGAAATTCCATTTACAGAGACTTGGAAACATAGAAGTTGTTTACAACAATGTGATAAGAAGGAATAGGAAACACCATGGTGTGTGTTTTGTTTTGTTTTGTCTTGGTTTTTTGCGATGGAGTTTCGCTCTGTCACCCAGGCTGGAGTGAAGCGGTATGATCTTGGCTCACCACAACCTCCATCCCCCGGTTGAGGCAATTCGCCTGCCTCAGCTCCCCGAGTAGCTGGGATCACACGAGTGTGACACCACGCCCAGCTAACTTTTGTATTTTTAGTAGTGATGGGGTTTCGCCATGTTGACCAGGCTAGTCTCGAACTCCTGACCTCAGGTGATCCACCCGCCTCAGCCTTCCAGAGTGCTAGGATTACAGGCATGTGCCACTGAGCCGGGCCAATGATATGTGTTCTTTAAATGAAACTAGGAAAAGAAAAATGAAACTGGAAAAAAAAAATGTATGTGCATGAACAAGAATATGTGGAAAACATGAAAAAGTGAAAAGTATGAAAACTGGATTATCGGTGGATTTCTCCTTTTCTAAATTTCTTTATTTTATTTATTTATTTATTTTTAAACAGGGTCTCACTCTGTTGCCCAGGCTGGAGTGCAGTGGTACGATCAAAGCTCACTGCAGTGTCAACCTCCCAGTCTCAAGCGATCCTCCTGCCCCAGCCTCCCAAGTGGTTGGGACAACTGGCGTGCACCACCATGCCTGGCTAATGGCTAATTTTTGTATTTTTTTGTAGAGACAGGATTTTACCATGTTTTCCGGGCTGGCCTTTAACTCCTGGGCTCAAGAGATCCACCCACCTCAGCCTCCCAAAGTGCTGGGATTACAGGTGTGAGCATGGCACCAACCTCATTATTCATTTTTTACATCTCCTTTTTAAAAATGGTTTTTCTCACAACACATGCAATTTCTCTTGTTCCACTCCAATTCAATTCTTTGTTTCCAAGGTCAGGTTTATGCTTTTAAAAATTAACAGCTTACCTTGAGTTTGATTGTCCCTTTATCTAAAAATGAAAATAAAATGAAAAAAGTTACATCAAGAGCTGTGTTGCCCTGCCTCCCTGAGCTGCAGCCTCACAAACCACAAACTTTCTTAACCCAAAGGGGTTTCATGTAGACAAACACACCCTGGGTCATGCTGGCCTGGCCTGGGCCAGGCTGGGCCTCTGACAGAAGCCAGAGGTTTCCTCCAAGCTGGCACAAGCTGAAGGCCAGAGGGGATGGACAAAGCTGAGCTATTCAGGGGAAAGCTGGCCTGCCTAAGTACTTGATTTACTTCACCCCTGGCTCCTGCCCAAAGTAAACTGTGAGGGGAGTAATGGGAAAACACCAGGGGAGAGGAACAAGGAGAAGGGTGGAGAGAAAGAAGAGGGGCTGAGGTCCCTAGTGGACCTGACTGTTCTCCCATCACCTCACTCTGCTACCCACACTGAATCATTTGTGGTACTATACTAGGTTTCTGGCCTCCAGGACTCAGTTAGGTATCTATTATTTTTGCCTGCCAGCAACAATTATCCCATTTCCTGCTAACAGATCCTCAATTCCCTTAGACAAGCTAACTGCCCAGCACACAATCCACGTGGCTCCTAAGCTCTCCATCCACCTTCCTGGGGCTCTAAGCCAATCTGCACAGGCCTTCCCCCGGTCACAGTGATTGGTTCAGGGTTGAGCATATGACCCAAAATGAACCAATCAGCACAGGCCTTCGCCTCTGGTCACAGCGATTGGCTCAGGGTTAAGCATATGACCCAAGATAGGCCAATCAGAGGGAATCCTGGGACTTTATCCAGCCATCTTGGGAAACTGGTGCTTCCCCTGATCTTAAAGGGAGACCTGGCTGCATCAGGAGGTAGGGCAAGAAGCCAGCCAGAAATACCAGTGGACTTTCTTTCTAGTTATGAGAGACCATAAACTGTTGCAGAAGCCAACTGGAGTTGCGTTTCAGTTAGCTAGCCACCCAAGTCAGGAGTACCTGGTTCTTCTAGGACTAGAAGGGCTTCTAGAAGGTTCTAGAAGCTTCCACATTTCACCTTCTCTGACCACACGTCCCCAGGAGACAAGTGCTGCTTCAGTGGCCTTGGAGCTCCTAACCTTGTCTGTGTCTCCTGTGGCTACATCATTCTTGGCATGAGGAATGAGTCTACCTCCCCTGGGAGACTACAGCTTTCTGGGCCAGGGATCTCATTCACCATCTTGCCCAGGAGGCTGAGGCTGTTGCTGTCTGAATTTGACCAAGGAGTGAGGGGGAGAGACTGGCTGAGGGCCTGAGCTTCACTTAGTAACAGGCCTGTGAGTCCAGGTCTGAGTCTAATGGTTCAGGTGTGCTGAAAACCCAACAAAAGGTCGGAGGGAGTCACGTGATCTCCTCCAGGTCCCCTGTCCCACCTCTGGTCAAAGCTGACACAGGTGGGTGCCCCCACTCTGCCCAGATCTGCACCCACACAACTAGGGCTGCTGAGGAACTGTGAGCTGAGCTGCCCTTTCTGGGCTTTACTCTCTCCATCTATAGAATGAGGAGAATGCAACCTGTCCTCCCTCCCTCCTTCCCTCTTGCGCCCCTGGGGATTTAGGGCAGAAGGGAAGCAAAGCAACACCCACACTGTCCCAGTCCTGAAGGCCAGCAAGTGGCTCCACTTTGCAAAAGAAGGGGAAGTCCTGGTCCGGCACCCAAGGGACCTACCCGGGATGACTCCCTGGCTGTGCACCACCGGCTCACCCTGGGCCACCAGCTGAGCCTGGACTATGACTTCCCATGGGGAGTTAAAGATGGTCACGCTGATGACTTCCTCCACGCCCGCGCGAAAAACAGATGGAGCTGCAATCAGGTAACCCCTGTAGGAAAGGAGATCCGAGGTGAAGTTCTCACCCCCAGCCCCCTGGCCTCGCTGCCACCACGGCTAGGTCAGGGCTCTCCCCGCAGCAGACTCCTGCCTTTTCCTGACCACACCTGGCTGGCACTGATGCTCTAGGAGTTTGTTCCCCCCCAGTTAGTTCTTGAGGACAGGGATTGGCTCATTCACCTCTGAAGTCCCCATGCTGGGTAAGAATCTGGCCTCACTGGATTTTTCAGCATCACACACCCCCTCTTACTCTCTGTATTCCAGCCTCCAGGCTGTTTGCTCAGCTACTTCCTTCTGTCCTGGACCTTTTTTTGTTTGTTTGTTTGTTTGTTTGTTTTTGTTTTGTTTCTGGAGACAGACTTGCTCTGTCCCCCAGGCTGGAGTGCAGTGGTGTGATCTCAGCTCACTGCAACCCCCGTCTCCCAGGTTCAAGGGATTCTCGTGCCTCAGCCTCCCGAGTAGCTGGGATTACAGGTGTCTCTCACCAAGGCTGGCTGATTTTTGTCTTTTTAGTAGAGACAGGGTTTTGCCATGTTGGCCAGGATGATCTGAAACTCCTGACCTCAAATGATCCACTCTCCTTAGCCTCCCAAAGTTCTGGGATTACAGGCTTGAGCCACCATGCCTGGCCCATCTGGCCCGGGACCTTTGCACATGTCATGCCCACTGTCTGAAATACTCTCCTCCACAAGTCAGGTAACCAGCAGGATCCCACTCCATCCTCACAGTGCACCCCCTCCCCCACAATCATGAGAAGTGCTGACATCAGCCCCATTCAGAGAGAAAGGAAACCCTGGAGAAGTCAAGTCACCAGCCCCAACAGTGACAGACCAGGATTCTAACTCAGGCAGCCAGACTCCAAAACCTGATAAAAAGAAGCAAAGGGCTTCTTTGCAACATTCATATTAAGAACAAACCCTGAAAACAAACTATAGGGCCTCAAACAGAAAATATTCTGAAAACGATGGAATCAAGGCAGGCCTCTCTTTCCTAAAATCTTCTGATTGACTATGAAGTCACCTCTGGAAGGGAGGCATTACCCCCACTTTCCCGATGGGAAGTTGATGCTTCAGAAGGATAGGAACATGCACCAGATCACACAGCTGGGCAGAAGAGGGTGCTGGGGTGTCCTTAAGGGACATGACCTGAGGACCCAGGTCCTCCCCACCTGAGCTCCTGTCTCCCAGTATCTGCAGCCTTCCATGGAAAATTACAAAAGCCCTGTAACCTGATGAAACGCTTACAGTGTCCCTACAATCACCAAGAGCATTATAGCAAAGGCACCACAATTGCAACCATGTAGCATGATGGAAATCCGAAGAGGGTAAAGAGGAAAACTGGACCATGCAATGAGATTAGGAGACATTTTCATTTCAATTTTTTTTTATTTTTATTTATTTATTTATTTATTTTTAATTGAGACTGAATCTTGCTCTGTTGCCCAAGCTGGAGTGCAGTGATGTGATCTCAGCTCACTGTACCCTCCAACTCTAAGGTTCAAGGGACTATCCTGCCTCAGCCTCCAGAGTAGCTGGGACTACAGGAGTGCGCCACCACCCTGTAGAGACAGGGTTCCACCTTGTTGGCCAGGCTGGTCTTGAACTCCTGACCTCAAGTAATCTGGCCGCCTTGGCCTCCCAAAGTGCTGGGATTACAGGCCCACTGCACCTGGCCTCAATAGTGTCTCTAGAACAACCCAACATCCACATGCAAAAAGATGAATTGAGACCATTACCTCACATCATGCAATTAGATTAACTCAAAGTTAATCTTAGTAACAGATCTAAATTGAAGAAGTAAAACTTGTAGAAGCACTAGAAGATAACAAAGGAGAAAGTCATTGCGTGCTTAGATTAGGCAAAGATTTCTTGGGTAAGATACCAAAACTATCCATAAAATAACTCATGATAAACCAAACTTCATGAAAACATCATTACAAATTTTGTATCTCAAAAGACGCAGTGGGTTTGTGTTGTTTCATACACACGAACAATGGGTTTGGGTTGTTTACTGCAGCCCTGGCCACAGTGTGCACTGACCCTGTGATCACAGTGTGCTCCATCTGCCTTGAATAATTACCAGAGTTCAGTCCCCTGGGATCACACATGTGTTGTCCAACTCTAGGACGAACTAGAGTTTGCAAGACCCTAGGTGTGTGCTGTGTATTACGTAGCTCCAGCACTGACCAGGACATGCAATTACCCTGGGTTTGTAGGTGTCCTGTCCAGCTCCAGCACAAGAATGTGGCATCCTTTAGAAGGGACATACTCTTTCTGTCTGGCTCCCAGCAGATTCCTAGAGCTTAGCCTCACATATAGTACGTGGTAAGTGTAGAAGACAGAGTGAGGAATAAGTTCATTTTGCTTCGTCACCTTTGAAAGTCCTAACAATATGGGTTTGAGTCTTCTTCCAACTGCCCAGAGAACCTGACATCACCAAATTAAGTTTCCCTGCCATTCAGAAGTTGCAGCTGTTTCCAGCTGTTGGGATGCCTGCCAGCCATTCACTATCACACCTGACCCACCCCTAGCATCTGGGCCAACACTGGCTTCTCATCCTGCTGGTCTCAGAAGGTCCCAGACTGGGGAAAGTGATGTCCGGGTCAGTGTAGACAGAATTGCTCTTACAACTGCAAAGCTGTGCTGCTTTCTGGGATCAGAAATTCCTCACACAAAAATCTCTCAGGTCACAGAAGTGGGCATCCAGAGCTATTCCTAAGACGGGATCCTTTGGGCTGGGTGAACCTTGCCCCTGGTTTAGAGGCCAGCTACTCTGGAATCCCAGGTCGGTCATTTGGGGACGTCTCTTCCCCAGTGTGTCTCTCAGCACAGGGATTCCATGTCACTTAACAGATGGTAAGATCCCAGGGTGACTTTAGTCAGAGGCAAACGCCCTGGAGAACTGTTTAAAGTTCTCCAACGGGCCAGGTACAGTGACTCACCCTGTAATCCGAGCACTTTGGGAGGCCGAGGTGGGTGGATCACCTGAGGTCAGGAGTTCCAGAACAGCCTGGCCAACATGGAGAAACCCCACCTCTACTAAAAAATACAAAAAATTAGCCGGGTGTGGCAGCACACGCCTGTAATCCCAGCTACTCAGGAGGCTGAGGCAGGAGAGTCATTTGAACCTGGGAGGTGGAGGCTGCAATGAGCCGAGATCATGCCATTGCACTCCACCCTGGGCAATAAGAGTAAAACTCCATCTCAAAAATAAAAAAATAAAAAATTTAAAAACACCTCTTTATAAGGCAGGGTCTGTCATTGGAGCCAAGGTCTGTCATGTGGGGCCGTGTCATTCCTTGTGGTGGAAGCTGACCTGCGCATCCAAAGCTGTTTACCAGCATTCCTGACCTGCGCTCACTTGATGCCAACACCAAATGCCTCCCCCTATTTGTGACAACCAGAAATACCTCCAGACATTTCCCAATGGCCTCAGGGAGACAGAAATCCCCACCCCCCCACCCCAGGGCTTAGAACCACTATTCTAAGGGATGTCAGCTTTGAAAGAAGCATCAGGATGAAAATTTTCAGGGTTCCTATTTCACGAAGCCTAGGAGAGGAAAGTCCGGATGCTCAGAGCGCAATAGACTGTCTTGCTTTTAAAACTGTAACCAGCAAGGACCAGGTACTCACAGCAAATAACGACACCCACCTAGTCTCACTGCTTACCAGTTTTCTGGAAACTCCTAAACAAGGGCTGCTTGAACAAGCCGCCTCCTAAACGCCCAGCTGGACTAAAAGGCTGGGCTTGTGCAAACCAAGGCAGCCCCCCTGAACCCGCAGCCCTGCAGAGCTCACCAGAACTTGCCAGGTTTAGAAATATTCTCTGTGAAGCCAACTTAGGAGTTCTCCCCAGCAGCTAGTTAATTCACCTTCTCCCCGCCATCAACCCACCAGAAGCCTGCAAGCAAACCTCTAGAAAAATGTAGAAGCAAAACAAACATTTCCTCCCCCCTCACCACGCCCACCCACGGGAAACTGCCCCTTCCCACTCTCCTCCCACTTCTCAGCCAAGACGCGCCTCTTACCTTCATGCCTTGGACAACTGGAAATCGCCACCCAAGATGACAGCCCGGGTCACACGAAGGGGTCGAGGTGGGGCAGGGGGAGCTGACCTCAGCGCCTTTAGCTTTTGGAAGTCCCTGTACCTCCACAGTCACTTTGGAAACTTTAGGGCGCCCCCTCCCGAAGACGATTCGGGAACAAGAGGCCAGGTCCAGCCCAGCGCGGAGGCTGTGTGGCCTTGGGTAGGTCGCTGCGACCCTCTGAGCCAGTCCCTACGACCCCCACCCCAGAAGGCGACCGACCTCCTCTGTCGCCGGGGATACTCACGGGGCCTGAGGCTGCGCGGCGCGCACGCCGTCCCGCGCCGACAGCAGTAGGAGCAGGAGCGGGAGCAACAGCCAGAGCAGGGCGCAGCTCATTTTTCGGCTCCGGGGGTGCGCTGCGCCTGGAGAGGGGGCCGGGCCAGGGCTGGGCCAGGGCCAGGGTCCGAGCGCGGCCGTCCTCGCGCCGCCGCCGGGGGCCCTTTGTTCGCAGCCCCCGCGCAGTGCGCCCGGCGCCATGCGCCCCGCTCTGCGCCCGGCCAAGCTGGGGCAGCCCCGGGCCAGCCCCCTCCCCGGACCCGCCTCGTCTCCGGGCCCGCCCCGCTCGCCCCGCTCGCCCCACTCCTGGGCGCACCCTCCTGGGACGCCTGCTCCGCCCATCTCCGGACCCTGACCCGCCCCGATCCCTTCCTGTGACCGTCCCCCCACTTACTCCCCGACCCACCCGGGCCCTGCCCAATTCCTCCCGAACCCGCCTCCTCGCCCCCTACCCGGATTCGCCCCCGGATTCCCCCGTCCCCACCAGCCCCGCCTCGGACCCGACCCCCAACCGCCCTCTCCTCTGCACCCAGCATCCACTTGGAACCTGCCCCTTCCCTGGCCTCTCGCCCCCTCCCTCCCCAGCCACCCCCCTTATGGCCCCCTCCCCGGGCCCACCCCTCCCCAGGGGCCGCTGGGTCTGGACGCCGCCTGTAACCCCGATCCCACAGGGGCCGCTGTGCCCCAGGCCCTGGCCTGTATCTGGTGCCCAGTACAGTGCGTGCAGCCCGAGGAGCAGAGGATCCTTTGGGGAAACAGTCTAGCCAGGGATCGAACCTTCCAGACCCACATCTGCCCCAGGCCCCTATCTGTTCTCTCATCTCCCCTCTCCCCTACCCCCAATGTCCACAAATCCCTTGGGCCCGTCCCCTCTCTCTCTGGGCCTCAGAGTCCCCCTTCCCCTCCCATACAGCAGGGTTGGATGGGCACCCCCTTTCTCTCCAAGAGCAGGGTGTCCCCTCCTGCCCCTCCCCGTGTGGCCACTTCAGCGATGGTCCTGCTGTCCTAGGTCCCACTGGCAGGTGGCACATCCTATACCATGTCCCAGTCCTGGACCCCCTCCCTCCAATGTGGAGCCCCCTTCCCCCAGCTACCAGCTGCCCTCCTAAAATTCCAGTGCTGACCACACCTCCTCCTGCCGGGAATCCTCGGGGCTCCCTGTTTATTTTATGTTTTATTTTTATGTTTTGAGACCAGAATTTTGCTCTGTTGCCCAGGCAGGAATTTAGTGGCACAGTCACAGCTCACTGCAGCCTCAAACTCTTGGAGAGTAGCCGGGACTACAGGTGCAAGCCCACACCCAGCTAATTTGTATATGTATATATTTTTAGAAACGGAGTTGCACTGTGTTGCCCAGGCTGGTCTTGAACTCTGGGCTCAAATGATCCTCCCTCCTCAGCCTCCCAGAGTGCTAGGATTACAGGTGTGAGCCACCACATCCAGCCAGGGCTTCCCGTTTATTGAGACCAAATCCAAACTCTGGCTTTGATGGCAGAGACCTCAGCCCAGTTCCTCCAACACCTTGTTCTCACTCCACTGCCTGCTTCTGCCTCATCTCTGTCTTCCTCTACCTGCCTCCTTCGCCAGACAAACTCCTGATCATTCCAGGAAATTCGAGGGAAGCTTCTCTTGCCCCCTCCCTGCCCTAGGGATGTGGGTCCTCTGGGGGCTTCTCAGCCCTGTCCACGGCCTTTGGACCCAGCAGTGATCACCCAGGCAGCACCAAGCCCTGGATTGGGCGGTGAGGACCCCGGGACATACAGGACCTGCTGCCACTGAGCACACAACCAGAGGGGATGTAACTGATGATGGTGTGTGGATGTGTGTGGGTATGTGCACGCATGCAGGGGCTGGAGTGGACTGAGTAGCTGTCGCTCCTGCCCGAAGAAGAGGAGTTGCTGCCTACCTCCAAGCTCAGACCAGGCCAACCCCAAGCAGGCTGCTAAACTCACATGGAGGTGCAAAAATTTAGCACCAAGAAGCAGCGTCTGATCTCACCCTCTTCATCGAAATTTGCCCCCTGCCACCCCTCTAGGCCACTTCTGACTCCTACCTAAGCCAACCTCCACTCCTCAGCCTCCAGGCCAGCCTTTGACCCCTCCACTTCCCCCTTGACCATTGGGCTCTGGCCACACTGGCCTTTGAGATACATCAGACCCCCACCCACCACCACCACCATCTTGGGCCGAGGTGCCAGTTGTTCCCTCTGCCTGGGATGCACTTCCCTGTGGGATCACAAGACCGGCCGCTCTTCTCCACCTTCAGGGTTAGCCCTGAGGTGCCTTTCCTGCCTGTCTGTGTTGTAAGGTCTAAAATGTCAGTGCTGTCTTGGCATGGTTGAGCCACACAGGACCATAATGTCCCGACCAACTGTCCAGCTACTCTCGCCAAATATGCCCCCTGCCTGGCAAGAGAAGTTGCTCTCCACCTGGCTGTCTCACCAAGCAACCAGACCAGCTGTACCCCACCCATCAGCCACAGACTTCACTTCCCTAGCTGCTGAGAAGTTATTGAAACAAGCCATGGCCAGGCACAGTGGCTCATGCCTGTAATCCCAGCACTTTGGAAGGCCGAGGCGGGCGGATCACCTAAGGCCAGGAGTTCGAGACCAGCCTGGCCAACATGGTGAAAACCCGTCTCCACGAAAAATACAAAAATTAGCCGGGTGTGGTGGTGCAAACCTGTAATCCCAGCTACTCGGGAGGCTGAGGCAGGAGAATCGCTTGAACCCAGGAGGTGGAGTTTGCAGTGAGCTGAGATTGCGCCACTGTACTCCAGCCTGGGTGACAGAGCGAGACTCTATCTCAAAAAAAAGAAAGAAAGAAACAAGCCAATCACATCCTCCCAGGAGAACCAGGCGCCGCCTCACCCTCTTGTTACTACACAGCCTGCTTCCCACAGCCCCTGATTGTCCATTGTGCTCCTAAGTGCAACCCCTGTGTGGCCTCGCACGGTGTACAGGGTCCTCCTCCCCTCATTGTGTGAGAATAGGTGAGCACTAAACTATAGATCTCACCCACCCAATGTCACATGTTGTATATTTGACCATCTCATACTCCTTTTTTTTTTTTTTTTTTTTTTGAGATGGAGTCTTGCAGGCGCCTGCCACCATGCCCAGCTAATTTTTTGTATTTTTAGTAGAGACAGGGTTTCACCGTGTTAGCCAAGATGTTGTCGATCTCCTGACCTCGTGATCTGCCCGCCTCAGCCTCCCGAAGTGCTGGGATTACAGGCGTGAGCCATGGCGCCTGGCCTTTTTTTTTTTTTTTAAACAGAGTCTCGCTCTGTCACCCAGGCTGTAGTGCAATGGCGTGATCTCAGCTCACCACAACCTCCGCCTCCTGGGTTCAAGCGATTCTCCAGCCTCAGCCTCCCGAGTAGCTGGGAATACAGGCAACCGCCACCACGCCCCCGCTAATTTTTTTTCTTTTAGTAGAGACGGGGTTTTGCCATGTTGGCCAGGCTGGTCTCGAACTCCTGACCTCATGTGATCCGCCCGCCTCAGCCTCCCAAAGTCCTGGGATTACAGGCCTGAGCCACTGTGCCTGGCCTAATGGGAGACGGTGGCAGATCACCAGGCATTAGATTCTCCTAAGGAGCACGCAACATAGATCCCTCACATGCGCAGTTTGCAATAGGGTTTGGGCTTCTGTGAGAATATAATGCTGCTGCTGATCTGACGGGGTGGAGCTTGGGCGATAAAGTGAGCAATGGGGAGAGGCTATAAATACAGATGAAGCTTTGCTTACTCATCCAATATCAGACCGGTGTCAGTCTGTGGCCCAGGGATTGGAGACCCTTGATTTAGATCATGGGTGAACAGGAGTCAGTGAGGACACTAGCATGGCCCGGTCACCCAGTTTGAGTGCATGGTACACAAAGCACGGAGCATGGTCTTATTATTCCGTACACATCTGCTTCCTGTCTGTCTTCTTTGGGATGTGAGCCCCCCGTTTGCTGCTGGCCCCAGCCCCTGGCTCAAAGCAGGCACTCCTCACACAGAGTACTGCCTCATCAGCACACGGGAGAAGGCTCGCTGCTTAGAAGAGTAAGTTGATACTGTTCCATGAATTATACAAGCCTGAGTTAACAAAGCCATCACCAAAAACTAAATTATACAGATTTGCAATGAAACACATTATACAGGTTGAGTAGCCAAAATGCATTATCGGCTGGGTGCAGTGGCTCGTGCCTGTAATCCCAGCACTTTGGAAGGCCAAGGTGGGTGAATCACTTGAGGTCAGGAGTTCGAGACCAGCCTGACTAACATGGTGAAACCCCATCTCTACAAAATACAAAAATTAGCTGGGTGTCATGGTAGGTACCTGTAATCTCAGCTGCTTGGGAGGCTGAGGCATGAGCATCACTTGAATCTGGAAGGTGAAGTTTGCAGTGAGCCAAGAATGGGCCACTGCACTCCAGCCTGGGCAACAGAGCCAGACCCTGTCTCAAAAAAAAAAAAAAGTGCCTAATCTAAAATGCACTTTCCAAAATGGTCAGTGCAAGTGCAAGAAATGTTCCAGATTTTTAATTTTTCAGATTTGGGGATATTTGCATTATACTTACTGGTAGAGTATCGTGTGTGTGTGTGTGTGTGTGTGTGTGTGCGCGCGCGCGCGTGTGTGTGTGTGAGAGAGAGAGAGAGTCTGGCTCTGTTGCCTGGGCTGCAGTGCAGTGGTGCGATGTTGGCTCACTGCAACCTTCACCTCCTGGGTTCAAGCAATCCTCCCACTTCAGCCTCCCAAGTAGCTAGGACTATAGGCACATGCCACCACATTTGGCTAATTTTTGTATTTTTGTAGAGACAGGGTTTCTCCATGTTGCCCAGGCTGGTCTCGAACTTCTGAGCCGAAGTGAGCCACCTGCCTCAGCCTCCCAAAGTGCTGGGTTTACAGGCATGAGCCATCGTGCCCAGAGTATCTTTAATCTGAAAATCTGAAATCTGAAATGTTCTAGTGAGTGTTTCCTTGGAGCATCATGTTGGCACTGAAAATTTTTAAATTTTTGAGCATTTGTGGAATTTGGATTTTCAGATTAGAGATGCTCAACGTGTATTAAAAATATGGCTGGGCGAGGTGGCTCATGCCTGTAATCCCGGCAGTTTGGGAGGCCAAAGTGGGCAGATTATTTGAAGCCAGGAGTTTGAGACCAACCTGACCAACATGGTGAAACCCCATCTCTCCTAAAAATACAAAAAATTAGCCAGGTTTGGTGGTGCATGCCTGTAATCTCAACT